AAAAGCATAGATATAGAGGATAGTCTGGAAAAACACAATTAGTTTTTTTTTTAATTCTACGCGGGCGGAGTCACGGGCGAAAACTAGTATTATATATTATTAATTATTTACGGCTTACTCACGTATACTTTTCTTTTTACGGTGACGGCACCGACCAGTTTCAGACCCTGCAGGGGTCCTACTTCAGGGCGAGGGTTAAGGATGTATAGCGGTCGCGTCGCGCCTCCCTAGTATTATATACTCGTAGTTATCAAATAGCATTTCTACAGATGTTATTGGGTGCTTATTCATATTTTATATACAATACACTTTGTAAATGAGTAAGCTTCAGTATCAAGGTCGGCCGATGTAAACAGAATGATTACCGCTGCCGCGGGCAGGGGGCCGGCGGGGGGTGTGGGGTAGCGGGGGGAGTGTAATTTCCCCGCAAATTGTAGGGAGTTAACAATAATACGAAGAGAGATTACTCAAATTAAATCTGCTCTTTTGCGTTTTTACTGATATTGTATTAATAAGCAGGAACACCTGAATGAGAAAAAAAACAAGCATTAACTCGTCAATGTAATTGACGTAACTCCGACTAGAAAACTTTAATTAAAATAGCGTATGTGAAATTCTATTGTACATATAAAAAAATAATGTAACTTGTAAAAAACACCTCAAAGATAACCTCCGTCTTTGATGCCAATAAAACCTTTATCAAAACAAATATACGTGGAATGAGATTTTTTATAAAAACCGACATAAATTTGCCGTTTCATAACAATCTTTTGCTTTAGTCGTGAGCTGAGTTGAAAGTTGTACAACCGCAAAATATAAAGTTGTCCATCGCCAATGAATGATTCACATGTTAAATGGGTCAATTCATTATCTCGGAGCCGATCTGATAACGGATCGTTATATATTATTTTTATTTGTATTTTTGTTTGTTTTATCCGATGGTGTTACATTCCGATCTTACCACGGAGTAAGAAACAGCTCTGCTCGAGTATGAAGGTGCTTTTTCAGTAAAGTACGAAAGAACCTGAATGAGGTTCTTTTTGATAGCTATTAAACATTAAAATTTTATCAAAATTATTGTATTTCAAAAAAATATTACGATAATATTACAGCTTTCTTTAACTTGCTTAATATTTGTAAGTAATTTACGATAAGACCTTCACTTCACAATTTTCTAGTAGTTGTAATTTTATTACTACTTGAGAAAATCACAGTTTAAATTAGTAAATGCCACATCCAACGTATTCAACATCTCCGAAAAAGACCTGTTCCCGGAATGAAGTACAGTGGTTGTCGCTTAGCGGCGGCCGCGGGCGGGAACAAAAAAAACTGCGCCATCCCAACATAGAGGTGGCGCGCTAGATGTGGCACTGCGGGCGAGCGTATTCCTACTATGCCACTGCTGAAAAAATGTCATATATTAGAAAAAATTACCTTTATCGCCAAAAAAAGATGTATTTAATTTAATTTCATATCTTCCTTTGCTAATATAAACATCCTGTTTTTGATATTTTTTTTAAAATCTAGAGACAGAGCAGAAGCATTTATCGTTTTATACAATTTTTTTCGCTATATTCGACTCAATTATAAATAATTTAGATTTAGTCATGTATTTTAATTCAATCAAATCTAATTGGAATATTTGAAACTAGCCGCTAACTTACCTAGTCGCATCTAGTATTGTTACATCTGTGTCGGAATACCTCGGGGCGCCACCTTCCCTTATCTGCCGTCGTTTCCCCGGTGGGCCAGTGGTCAGCGCCGGACCATCGCCCCATCACACCACCGGACCAGCTTTATATGCGTTTAGTCCGATAAAGTGCTGCGATATCACTAATTGAGAAATTTATTTGTACCTGCGAATCTTCAAGGCCTTAGCGACCATCGCAATATAGACATTAATGTTCTCTTATCTAAAACGTGTCAAACTTTTAGTTAGAGCTCTTAGCACTGATATAAGTTTATGGTGACGGAGCTATGTAATAAATCTCTCAACGTGACACGTAATTGTGCAATAATATTGAAGGTTGGAATCTAAATAATCTTACTAATATTATAAATAGAAAAGTTTAGATAAATGGATGTTTGTAAGAGTGTGTAGCCTAAACAGCTGAACGGATCTGGGTGAAATTTGGCATAGATGTAGAGAATAGTTTGGAATAACATATATAGGCTACTTGCTTTTGTTTTTTGTAATTTCCGATCGTAGTCCAAAGCTAGTAAGGCAATAAGATATCTACTTCCTCGATATTATTAACTCGTTTTAGAAATAACTTTGCAGCTTGAATATAATGTAAGAAGACAATGCCGCGGGAGACAATCATCCTCTCAGACAGACAGACGGATAATGGTTCATTGTTACAAATATTAATACAAAATGACGGTGTGATTGTTACAGACTGTGTTCGGACGCGGCTTGCATATTTACATTATATTATTTTATTCCCTGATAAAATAATAAATTACAGCCGAATAGAGACAACCGACATAGCTTTTATTTGTTAAGCATTTTATAGTTCTGTGATATATTGCATTTATCATAAAATCCGAATTTATCTTCTTTTTTAATGTTCTTTCTGCGAACACCTAGTAAGAAATCAACGTCACCATGCCAGCTACAGTACTAGTGAGTCAATACTTCCAATAATATTATAAATCTTATAAAGATGTGACCATAAGGTGTCCATCACCGAGCACCATCCGTTGTCGTCATCACAGCGGACATGTCGCAGATATTTGCATTGGTTTCCGTTCATCCGCGGCGGCGCCACCGACAATGAGAATTGACGCATCATGTACTACACATCTTCCTACGAGTAATACCAATGTTATAAATGCGAAAATATGGATGGATATTGTTAGAGTTTGCAGCCTAAACTGCTAAACGGACTTCGATGAATTTTGCCATAGATTTAGAGGAGGGCCTGGAAGAACATATAGGCTACTTACTTATTCTTTTTTTAATTCGACGCGAATGGAGTCCCTAGCATTGGTATTCTTATAATTTTGATTAGAAAAGTCTTCTCCCATGTTAAGGGTCTTGTTATAAAGATTCTATGGTTGGAAAAATTGTCTACAGAAGTGTTTTATAATTCCGAGCAATAATTCAATACGATAAATTACCAACTTGATAATTTCATTCACTATGCTCTTTTATTCACCAGAAGCATTGTGAACAAAGCTGCTTCTATTTATGATAGATACGATATCTGCCCTCTATTTGTAATGTCAATCTAAAACAGCTGTTCCTGATAGAGACCCTAATATCCGTATCACTGACACCTGTTTGTCACATTCATACACGAAAACTGATAAGTTAAAAAGCAACAATGGGGTTCTTAGTAGATATTGACTTAATCTTAGGGGCAGCTTGCCGCGTGCGCTTTGATAAGCTTCGTGTTTGCTGAGGGTAGTTTGAGATTGTCACACTGCACCTGTTTTACCCTCAATTACTTCGTTTAATACATTACTAATTAATTAGTTAGTATAATAATTCTTAAGTATTTTATCAAGCTGTGATTTGTTGATTTGCAGTTGTATATGAAATCGGTAAGAAGCAACTTTACCATGCTGTTAACATTAAAAATACTTCACCTAGACAATTACCTTAAAGTATCGCGGTAGTTAATTAATTCCGGTGTCCCGCAAAAGTCCGGCTATGTATCCGGGTCAGTGGCATAAAGTCTGGTAATAATGTCAACTTCACGCCATTTACCTCGCGGGGTGGACACCTCTGTTATCCTCACGTTAGAATTCCTATTTTAGTATATAACTTCACACGATTTGTGTGTTGACAAATATCATTGTTAGAAAAACTATTGTTGAAGTCGCGTAATACGTTATGTCTGTCGGTGGCTCGTGGGATAATGTATTCCGTTCTATAACTTAATGGTAACAACTTGAGTGTTAAAGTTATTTCCGCACCTCTGTCTTAATAATAACTCAAATTTTAATGCATAATTATTCTTAATGTAATATCGAAAATATCATGAAATACTTGAAAATATAGCTATCACACTAACTAATTTAAATATATAAAGCACATAAAAAAGTACAAAAACAGGCAGTAACAACGAGGAGCATGCTTTTATAATAAACTTATAACAAAATCTCAAAGTGGGCTCCATAACCAAACTAAATGTACAAAACAAAAACATCTCGAGATTGGTTTTTGTCCAAAAACGGTTGTTATCACATCAAACTTCCCACGTTCGGCCGACTGGCTATACTTATTTCGCCTAAATAAATAGTGCGGGCATGATCTTATGACGCCGTGGATAATGCTTAACGGTTTATAAATTAGTGTGGTCCGAGACGTCGCCCGACTCCCCGGGGGGCCGCATACCTCGCCCGAATGCTTGCCTTTGTGCCCAGTCTTATTACTGCATTCACACCTCTGTCGCTGCCCTGCCACTGCCCTGCCACTGCGCCAGTACAGCACCCACATTATATCGATGTCGATGATCGGAAACTCGATGTCCGGTTTCAGTGTGTTATTGTTACATCGCATTTGCAGAAACTCTTCGCTACAAGACATTTCTCTTCCTTCTTACTAATGTAATAACTTATTAAACTTAAATGTACCATAATGACAAATGACAGTATTACAATCCAAGTCTAAATCTAATGTAGCATATCAGAATTTATAATATTATCCAATTAAATGAAACGCCACAATCTATTCGCTGATCCCTTCGCGGCATTAACTCGAGTCGAGACATAATTACACACAATACAGGCCATTGTGATGTATCGACCGTTCATGTCTCAATTCACGTGCATAACGTAGTTCCTGACAAACAAGCGTGATTGATGCCCAGCGGTGGGCACAAAGGGCCCATTGACAGCGCTCGTTGGCCCACTACCCCGCCACCCGCCCGCTACATCGCAGGACAATTATCCCTTCACGTGTCCCTTAGGTAAACATTTCGTCCACCCGAATCAAACCAACAAAAAAACTTTGCTACAAACTTTACGACTAACAATTCTAACAATACAAATATTTTCAAACGTACTTTTATTAGACGAAACAATAAATAAGATATCGTATTCAAAAATTAAATATTTAAACATTTGACGCGTTCAAATTACAAGAACAATTATGAAATAGCACATTTTTAAAAACAAGCATAATTCTACGCTAGCTGGAAGAAGCTGGAGGCTGAGTCCTGCAAGCCGTAGCGCCTGGCGCAGCTCTGCTGGTGCAGCTCGCAGCAGTAGGCCCGCGTGAAGCGCAGCCCGCAGTAGCGACATTTGAATAGATCGCTGCCGCGCAGCTGCTCAGAGTTCAGCACATGCTGGCACACGCCGCAATTCCTAACAAAAGCAGGGAGAGAATAGTCAACAATTTTCCAATTAGTAAAGTAAAACTTCTTATTGGAAATGAGTACTGTCAAGTTTCCTTAGAATCTGACAGGTGGTTTTTAAAGATATAAGGAGCGAACACCGAACATTAATTATGTTTTATATGGATAAAATACAACAAAAGTTACCTTGCAAAACCCAAGTGATGACTTTTAATATGATCATTTAGAGCCGATGCATTATTGAATGCACCTCCACATATGTCACAGACAAATTGCAGCTCCCTTTTGTCTAAATAATTCGAGTTTTGGAAGAATGGTAGGTAGGAATAGTAGTTGATACTGGGCACATTGGAAATTAGCTGTCTGATGGTCTCTGCAGACACAGTTAGCAATGCAATCACGCCGAGCGGGTCAGTGTTTGTTCCTTTTACTAACGCTGTCATATTCTCTTCATCTGAACTAAGAGAATTTTCTTCATTCATTGTAGTTTCCGGCGTATCCTTTACCCGAATTATTATTGGCCTGTTAACATGTACTGATTTGTCAGATGTCGCCACTGTGGCCAGTATACCTATGGATGACGTTCGCTTCACTGCTTGTACTTGCGTGTTCATTTTAGTACTACTCTTTGTACCAATTATACTACTTCTGAATTTATCTCTTAATTTGGCCAAGTCGAAACGTGACTCAGTTCGAGGTGATCTAGCACAAACTATTGATACATCCGTGTTTACAGAAACGTCTTGATTTTGTCCTACATTCACAATATTCTTTCTTAAACAGTTCACCACGTTATTTGAATTCTCTTTATATTCATTTACAGTTTCTGTTTTTTTGTCTATTTTGTATGATTTCTGCCTTTGAATTTCTTCAATCAGTAAATTTATATTTTTAACTAAATCGTCAATCTTAGTTTCTACTTTTAAAGAAGTGTTGGTTAAACTTTTCTTTTTTACTTTCTCTAATCTTTCAATTTGTCTAGCTAGAGGTTTTTGTAGCGATACACTACGGTTTACATTTCTATCTCTTTCTGGAGGTTTTGAATCTTCTTTTGATAAAGAAAATTTTAGTTTAGAATACTTTTTCTCAAATGGAACTCTGATCGTTGGGAACAATGTAAAGTTTTCACTATTCAAATTCCTCAATGTCATCGAGTTCATAGACGAATATAAATTGGTTTGTCCATCGTCTCTATGTAAGTTGATGGTGTTCGTACATGAAGATCTAGGACAATAGATATCATTAGTACAGTAAGAGTTCTGTCTCTTGATTTCTTTTATGTAACCGATCATGTTTTCACTTTGCACATATCTGTGGTCCATCGAGCAGCTGAGGTCAGTGGAAGGTTTCAACAGAAGTTTACGTTTCTCAACAAAACTCTCCTCCGATTTCAATAACTTCTTATACGAATCTTTTGCTAGATACATGACGTTGTGTTTATGTTTTTCTTGCAATATTTTGATTATGCGTTTTAAATCAGTTTGCTCTCTTTCAGTTTTCAATGCTTTCATAAGTTTTACTATAACTTTGTCTAGTCTTCTGTTGTATTTTATTATTTTAGATACAAACATTTCTGTATCGATATTATTGATCTTGTACTTGGATTGACTATCATCTGTAAAGTTAGCAACGGAGTAAATAATGTTACTACATTTAGGAGAATTTTCTACTTTCAAGGCATCACCTATAGACTACAGGGTATTAAGTTAAACCTTAGTCTATCTAGCTAGCTTATCTACTAGTACACTTACTTTTGTTTACATTTATAATACTTGAATATAGATCTCGCGGCAGTTTCTGTATATTGTCAGTAAATATGACTCCATTCTTCACGCTATGCCGGCTTATGAACTCGTCAACACTATCCTGAAATTCTGAACAACCAGCATTCACAGTTTTACTGCGACATTTACTATAACTGTCGCTGTTTGTTCTCATAAAGTATTGCTCCATTTCTTCAAATATATGTCTCATCTTTTTTCGTTTTCCCTTGATTTATTGCTTTAATTACATTAAATTTGACCGATGTATCGGGCACTAATAATTTGACTGACACTAACTGACATTGACAGCTTCAATCGCTTCATCGCTTCGTTCAGTCGCGTTTATTTGGTATCGATCTTTGGAATTTAAAAGTACAATTTAGGAAATAAGAAAATAAAAAAAACACCAAGGAGTTAAGAACCTTGATAAGATCTGTTATTAAATGTGTTGAGGCAATATCTGAAGAAATAATAATAATATTGGATTCAGTACATAAAATAATTTGATGCCGTAATACTCTGATTGTAATAAGCCATTCAACAAATCATTATATGTTGTACAGTTAAATTGTTAGGCACAATTTCACTAGTATAAGAAATCTTACGGAAAGTGTAAATGTTATTTCGAGGAACCCTAACAATTTGGCAATGAGACCACCCAAAGCAGACATAAATTGTTCTGCAGCTCTCAGCGCATAATGCGGGCAAAACGATCGCCTTTTATTATGACGTCATCAGAGCCCCAGCGCGTTAGGAATTCTGATTGAATCTTTATATATACGTCACAATGTACACTTCCAAAATCTATATTCCATCCTTGCACTCGATCCGAATATGCGATCTAAGATTCTTCTATCTGAAGTGAAAGATTGGATTGTGGATAACCAAAACAAATTATCAGACTTAAAAAAAATAAGCGAGGGGCGACATTACACCAGCTATTTAGATAATAGATCGTCACAACAGTCGCGCCACATTTTTTTATTTAATTTTCAAAGTTATGTTTGCATTTTTATTAGCTCCTTGGCCACGCCTGCGGCGGCCCGCCATCGCCCGCCGCTCGTTCGCAGCTTGTTACTGCTTATGTTAATCGATTCATAGAATATTCATTGAAAAAACCACCCTTATACTTTGTCATATATTGACTACATTAATTTTTTATCTATCCATGTCACTCCGTTGTCGCCTTGTCACTACACGCGCTTATTTTTTAAAGAACGATCTAAATAAATTATCTCTTATGTCATCCAACAAGTATATTGTTCAAAACACAGTACAGAAACTTTTTAACTATCATAAAAACAAAATATCAGTGTTTTCTTGTCTTTAATTCAAATGTTTTCGGTTAATAAGCGGTTATTTTGTTAACAACAGTCGCGTACCTCAATCAATTCTGATTTCCATATGATTTCCCCTCGACTACATTTCAAAAGTAATTCAGTCACCCCACTCGAAGCACAAAAGTCTTGTAAACAACTCCAAATTAGAGGATAATGGTCGCCCTTCAAAGGGTCACCTTATAAAGTAAACGCCCCAGAAACATACCCTTGGCTTACCCCCGTACTCAATTAAAATATTATTTCATATACTTGATTACGAATGAACCGATTTATTTGATATACATTACACTGGCAGAGTGTTATATTCGATTGTACTTCTTAGAATAAACTTCAATGGATTACGAATTTCATTTATGATTGATTTCGTTGTAGTAAGGATGGAATCAAGCCAGACGTGATCGTTACGCCAAGGTGAAGGCCGGGGAATGGCGCGGAGGCTGAAGGGAGACGTTGCCATGGAAACTCCCGCGTACCCGTTGCTCATCATACCTGTATTCAAATTTAATAACAAACAGCTAACAACTATATTGTCGCTGTGATTAGTTTATGTTGTTTCGTAATGTACTATAGGTTTGACTATGAACTAAAGATTCTACAAAGGAAAACATCGAATATTTTAAGGCATTACGAAGGTTTCGTGTCTCGTTCGCAGTTCAGAAGACAGTGCAGGTCTAGCTCAAAGTCATGTTATCTAGATAATGTTAAAAGAAAATTAACAAAGAGAACATAAAATAAGTAACGTGGAGAGTCTTCATATAGTAAGACTCATTGTGACGACATAATAGTCATCCACCCGATCGTCTCTCAACTGGAGTCTGGAGGAATGTTTTTTTTTTAACGTGATCTTATTCATAGGCAAGCATTATTGTATCAAAGCAGGTTTTTGGGTTCCCTTTGAAAGTGACAGTTTATTAAAATTATTAGGAATTTTATAACATAGTTATGTTGTTAACAGTTTTTCGTGGAACAATAATGTCATAAGCATTTATTGTGATGTAAGTTTTTTTAATTATTTATTTGTTTACAATGTACAAATCAAATAATTATATATGCGCTAACTTCAGTCTTAGAAATTAAGTACAGAACCCGTCTCGTGTTGAAATAGACCGTCTTTATGAGATTTTTTCACACCAAAAGTTTATGTGAGGAATGCAAAGTCGCGGAGATTACGTCGGCGGTACAAAGTGGTTTTGTATGGAGGCCATTGTGGCAGCCATTGTTGGCGTCCGAAAGAGGCTGCCCATTGAACGCTGCGTCAATAGAACATGTTTAACATCATTGCTTAAGTTTGCAGTTAAATCTTGTGATGTAATAGGCAAGGAATTTAAATTCATACAGAGCATAGCATTTACATCTACACCATAATATTGTTAAAAATATTCAGTTTATCTTACAGCTCAAAACGTAACTGGACAACTCATTTAAGTATATGTAATGAGTACTGTAATTAAACTTAAAGCAGAGATAGTGTGTGTCAACATCAACAGTATCGCGGTGTCGCGGCAATTCGTACGATAAGTGAAACAAAAGGAAAAACCTCGCGCAAACAAAGCTATCGGCCGTCGATAAGATAGTATTAACGGAGCCTCGGAGCAAACTCCCACGGTGCGGCCGGCCACAGCCGGGCAGGCGGGCAGGCGGGCAGGGGGCAGGTTCAGGCGGGCAGACTCCCTGCACCTCTTGTTTGAACACTGATTGTCCCAATGGTCCGCGTATACTTGTGTAATGTGTACTGCACGAACTAGTCACCGTTATCGAGTACAAATACTTTAGTTACATTAAGATCTCCTTAGAAACAAATTACCTTGTTAATAACAGACAAAGCTCGTGAACAACTATTCGATACTACCACAAGCAGTCAAGGCCACAACCCATTATTCGACTAAAAGAAATAATAAATCCTTTTCAAATAAAACGCAGGTCGGGAACACGAGCTACGTTTTAGGCGGCAGAATTAAATCGGGTCGGTATGTCGAAATTTTAATGGATTTTGTGAGCGCCAGCCACGCCCGCCGCCGCCCGCTGCCGCCCGCCGTGTCGCCGCTGACCCCGCGCTCACCTCAGGGGATTTTTGTTATTTTCAAAGACACAAAGAAATGTTTTGTTTTCAATTGTGATAAAAAAGATAAATAGTTTAACAAATTAGATAGAATAAGATTGGATTTTGGATTGCATTGGATTGCACTGGATTGCCACTTAACCACCGATCGTTAACTAAAACCTTCTTCTACACTAATACTCATTATCCTAAGAGAACATTTCCCATTCATATTTTCAATACTTATAGTTTACATCAAGCTTATGTAAGCATCGAAAAAAAGGTTCCACAATCCAATCTATTTTTCAATTAAAATTAACTGAAATAAATCAACACTAAACCAATCAATTAGTAAACGTCGTATAGTCCAATTGGATTAGATTCCACAAAAACTGAGAGATAGAACAAAAAAGTAGGCTGAAGAAGCCGCGAGCTCAGAGCGGCCACTTTTAATTACAGCAGACGTATTGTTTGACTGCGCTATATTTATAAAAAACGAAGAACAAAAAATATTTAAAGGATAGTATGAAGATGTCCGAGATCAAAGCGAGGTCGATCCGATTTGGGATATCAGATATTCGAGTGTGGAAGATATCGCCTGTTTAAATAAATTACCACTCACGCTTTTGTGTCTAATGGGGTGGGAATAAAAACAAATGGATTATGGGCAAGTATACCTCATAGAATTCTTGGGATAGAGGGCGCCAACTTGTCCTATCTCTTTTCTATATTTATTTTAAACGGAATTATCGCACCTGACAACAATATGGCTTTTCCGTAACTTGTATTTAAATAGGAATTAGTTAGAATTCTAAACCAATAATTGTTTTGATAATTTAAGTTAATCGTGCAAATACGCATTACACCTGTCTAAAATATTCCATTAAAATGACAAAACAATGTTTTATGAGGTAATTAAGCGGAGAAATTATATTAAATGCTTTGAGGGCAAATAAACGCGTATTTCCCACGCGGGCGGAGACGCAGGCGAGAGCGTATGATGCATTAAACGAGTTATTGAACTATTTATCTGCGTCCTTGCGCCAGGGTTCAATTTTAGTTATAACTGCAATATTTTACATTACACGATTTAATTTACATATTTCCAGTATGTTTTGGTGTTAACTAATCGGGCTCGTGATACAGATAATCGTATCGAAAACACACAGCGTATACCAGCCATAGAAAAGAGTTAAACGAGTGCAAGTGTTTTGTTGCTAACATTGCATCGAGAAATTTTCAATTAATAGTCATTTATACACAATTCATTTTCATACTTAACAGCAATAATACTCTGTACTAAAGGTATACCTTAAAGTACCCAATATAATATCACGTCTTCCCGGGTCTTATGAACGTTAACTTCGGACCTCACGTTTTTTCTTTACATTTGTTGTGGCGCAGAGATTTCACGGCGGCCAGGTTCTCACACGCGCGGCCACAGGTTCGACACTGATCCATTTTTTGCTATCTAACTATTGGATACTGTGGTCTTACGTATAACAGACGTCATGCAAACATCAGCTTGTACGTAGAATATATCAATACCACTTAAATCGAGTGAAAAATAAATCAATAAGTGTTTTATCGATTTTATTGTTATAATTCGTTATCGTTATTGTTTTTATTGCTGCCAGTCTGGGCAAACAAGCAAATTAAGGGCAATAGAACTCTTGAAGCGAGACTAATAGGCCCAGTACACCCACTCAAGTTCTTCATATACGAGTGTTTTTTTTAATATCATGCAATTAGGGGTCAATAATTTATATGTGATGATTAAACATGATTTATAATATCTTTCCTATGTTTTATAACACGCCGCAGTCGCACTTATTACATAAACACATCCAGTTTACTTACAAACAACTTGATTGATTTGTAAGTGACGATTACGTGACTGAT